AAATATTAATTTTTATTATTATTATTTTTTTATGTTTTTGGCCCGGGCGGGCAAGTGACCCCAGGCCACTCTGGTAACCTAGGTTTCAAGTTTATACTTACGAGTACCTTATAATGCTTCTGTATGACCTCTAACTGTAAGGTTTTGCATGTTTGGAAGTTATGGCAAAATACAGATACCACTTAGTAGACGAAGAGTAATGTAACTAATAATTTATATGCTTTGCAAAAAACGTTATGGATCAAAAATACAAAAATGACTCGGTTAAAATTTTCATATTAAGTTAGAAGAAACGCGGGCTTACATCGTTGGGTGACCCATTGGGAGATCAACACGCGATGTAACGATTTATATATTTTAGTGTTCGACATGTAACCACATATGACCCCTATGTTATAGCGTGTGAGAAACGTCCTTGGTTGGTCCACCTTTGACTTTACTTCTAAAGCCACTACATATGGATCAATAGCTCGTCAGGCATACACTCACATTAGGATAGTGAGAAACCCTTGGGAAAAGGTAAGTTGTATTTCATATAATTTTATTATGTTGGAGAGGGTAGTGACATAGTGCAGTCGATTGGAGTAATAAACTTTATTGATGCGTCCATTTTTTTTACTCTTAAGTAGTGAGATGGTGCATACTTGGGCCAATGCACATGATGATTCGTAGTAGGATTTTTTTTTTATATAAATGAAAGCAATTATTAACGAGGACAAGAGAACAAAATTATCAGTGATCGTGCATCTCTGAACTTATGTGCAGGGGTTTTCAATTGTCTTCATATATCGATTCAAAATTCATCCTTATTGGGCTGATGAAAGACGAAGATTGGTTCAGTGGAGGGGGGGGGGAAGTAGAGAGGATAAAATTCGCTAAAGTGAAGGAAAACTGTTAGAAAATTTCGATCGAGGGGCATTGCGCACACATAAAACAAATATAAAAATAATTATGCAAGAATTTAGTACGCTAGATGTTAGAAGTAAGTAAGAAGGATGAAAATATGAGAAATGAAAAAGTGACAAGAAATTAGTTGAGGAACAATATGTTATTTTGTACAAGAGCAAGCATGCATAATATGCCACTATCTTATAAAACGCCTTATTTTCTGCACCCTTTTTCCTTTTATTTTTTGCAAGGATATATATTAGCTGTTTTTTTTTTTTTTTCAATGTCACATAACCCCCAATGGTGCAAGGTTATTTCAATTTTTATATTACTCTTTCAATTTTGTATAGGATTTTTTTTTTTTTTTTTTTTTTTTTTTTTTTTTTTTTTGCTTTGTGCCTTAACAAGTGCGTACACGATTTTTAAATTATGTCTGAGCTCGCATACATTTTTGCATCTTGAAATTTATGCATCACCATTTTTCAATTACGACGATTCACTTAACAAAGTCTTATCACCTTTTCATTTTCTTATTTTCTTTTAATTTCTCACTACCTCTTGCAAGTTGTTTTTCCTCATGCTTATGTACATTGATTTTGAGCGCATGCAACCTTGTCTCTTAACCCCCTCTCGTAAGTGTGACAAACTTTTTCGCTGTTTTCTCCTCCTTTCTCTTTCCTGGTTCCTCCTCTTTCGCATGTCGTTCATTAATATATTTTTTTGAAACTGTCCCTTCCGCTTAACTCCTTCCTTCATTTTGATTGGTCGCTGGAAATACTCGTGGGACTGTTGTATGGAGTGAGGCTACAACCCCTATGTAGCAGCTCGATTATGTACGACGTATTGCTTTTCTGCTATCCGTATTCCCTGCCCCCCTTATTATTACTTTGTTATTGCAAACAACCTTCTCCCCTTGTGCACGTATAGATCTTTCAAGCGTCACCCCCGTGCTTTGTCTTCCAACTTCAAGTAAACGGATTAGGTAGATCAGTCATATCTCGGCTGATTGGTAGTAAAAAAGTCCTAATATGTTGGTGGCGATTGAGCGAAGTTGCTTGAACACCACGACGACCTACAAGACGTGTGTGAACTTGCGAGATGATCGGATCAGTGGGGTGATGATCGTTCGAGGATTTGACAAGTACACGATGGCAGACTGTCGTCTCTCTGTGTGAATGGTGGTAAGGTTGGATACACTTTTGGTGGTGCTCTATACATCACACGTAGGATAATGCGTTGCAAAAAAATTCTCCTTGGTGGGAATCTTTATCTCGATTTCTCATGAGTGTAAGTGTGATTAAGCCGAGTGATTTGTTTCCTCCCTTGGACTTTGTTGTGTTGCCAATCTTTGTTTGTTTGTATGGAGTAGCACCTCCTTCAAGCAATCGATCCTATGCATTTCATCTGAGTGTGAAAATTAAGCAGTGAACATGATCGTGACTCTTGATTGCGTAGCGCTTCGCTCGTGTGTCGAAGATGTCCTGTTTAATGTTTTATATGAAGTTAAAGAGTTTAGGATTGGATGATGGTGTGCCCCCCTTCTTTTATACGATGCCTTCTCTGACATCTTAGCAGCAGTAGAACAGGTCCATCCTTTGTTTGGTTGTCTACCACCTTTCTGTTATCTCCTGTTGGATTTGCATCTTTATTTGCTCACGTAGTTCCTCTCCCTCAACCCTCACTCCCTCCATCACCAAGGCGCACCTTTGCCGCTGTAAGACCCACAAAACCGTCCTCCTCCCCAGGGTAGACATGTTTCCAGTGAATGTGTCCTCTGACTAGTCATGCCAGTATCCTGCTAGGATAGCCCGCCAGTCCCAGGGCCTCAAACACTCTGGTATGAGCTGCAGCCATATTCTGTCCCACCATCCCCAGGAGAGGATGGAGGAGGGGCATTGCAAAAATATATATTCTACTGTTTCAGCCCTTTTCCTCAATGGAAAGTCTTTTAGGCAAGGACTGCACCAAGGGAGGAGGGATCTCCCTAGTTATTCCAGAGATGTATGATCTACTAGCCAGTGGTGAGTAGGCAAGTGGGCAATTTATCAGTGCAATGATGTTATTTTTGCCGGCTTTTTCTTACTGTCCTGGAACCATTTGATTGGTCGGAGCAGTTGTTTCTCAGTATTAAGGTGCCTGTACCAACGGTCATCCATGATGTCTTGGAGGTTCCGTTCGACTCTAAGCTTTCGGTATGTATTTTTGACTGTGAGATTCTTCAGCTTCTTGACTTTATGGTTGGGCCCTCTCCATTCATCAGGAGTTTCCACTGCCATTCCCCCGGGTCCAGGGCCAGCTCTGTAATCAGGGTACCAGGTTTGTAGGCTCACTACCCCAAGAACCTGAACCCTATATGCTTGTATTCTCTCCGTCCATACGAAAGGGGCCCTGCTACCTGTCAGTTTATCGTCCCTGTACCAGCGGTAGTATTCTACCAACAAATCATCCGGCCTTTCTTTGTGCACCAATCTCGCCTGGTCGGGGTGTCCTTTTTGCACCACCCAATCTCCTTCCCTAATGTCCGACCCCTTCCTTAGGACGTAGTACCTCGCTATTAGGAAGGCTTCAATCAACTCTTCCATAGTCGTTTCTAGCCTATGGCAGTCGTGTAATATTCTTCACGTCTGTTCTTTGCTTCTCCATTTCCCCATATTTGTGTCCCACTGCCCACTCTTTCTACGGGGAGTCTGTGCTTCTCATCACCTGCCCATGGATGTTAGTAATCCAACTTTCCAAATAGGGGCTGACGATAGACTTCTTCCCATCTCTCTGGCTCAGGTCGGTCCCCGGGGAGAGAGGGGGGGG